CATCCTCCCAAATAATTTGTACCACATGAAGATTGAAAAGGCATGGAGACAGAACAAATCCGCAACACACTCTTTTCCTGATTTTGAATCATGCAATGTTTCCTTGCTCTGTTCTGAGGACTGCTTCTTGGTCCAAGTATAGGTTTTACGTGAGCACAATCAAGAGTTCTAAGATTCTCATTCTTCTAAAGGTTAGCCACAGTTTGTGATCCACACTGACAAATATCTTTACATAATCAATGAAACACAGACATTCCTCTGATACTTTTTGCTTTTTTCCAAGATCCATCTGACATTGGCAATAATGTCTCTGGTACCATGGCCTTTTCTAAATGGCCTCTTATTTCCGGTAGTTTTCTATTAATATACTATTATAATTGTTTTTGGATAATCTTCAGCAGGATTTTGCTTGTGTGTGGTATCAGTGATGTTGTTCTTTCTTGTTGATTGCCATCGAGTCAAGCATGACTCATAGCGGCCCTATGAACAAAAGGCTTGAAGCCTTTCTAGAACTATCATCATTTATTGAAGTTCATAGAAGTTTCCAGAAGCATGTTGTTTAGGAAGTGGATGCCACTCCTGCTCCCAAATTGATATTGTTTGATAATTTCCACAATCAGTCAGGTCATCCTTTTTTAGAATGAGAACAAATACGGATCTCTCCCAGTCAGTTGGTCAGTAGTTATCCTCCAGTTTTCTTGGCACAACTTGGAAAGCACATCTAGGGCAGCGTTAGGTTGTTGAAACATGTCAGTTACTATTTCATTAATTCCTGGGGCCCTGTTTTTTCCCCAATTCCTTCAGAGCGTCTTGAACCTCCTCCTTCATCACCACTGCGTCTTGATCATATTGGTTATTGTTGTTTACCGTCAAGTCAGGACCCACCTATAGCTGGCCCTCCAGCGGGTTTTCAGAAGCAGTTAGTAGAACAGGAAGAGATTGCCCATCCTTCTCCCGTGGAGCATCTGGTGGATTTGAACCATGTGCCTTCAGGATTGTAGTACAGCTTCTAACCATGAGGCTGCCAGAGAGCTCGTCTTGAGATATGTTGTCTCACTAAGTCCTGTGCCAGCCTGTTGAACCAACTTTGCTTTCTTGGTATAAATCTCACTTGGATGTAAAGTATTATTTTCTTAATTAAGTATTAAAATAATTTCTTAATTTTCTGTTCAGGATCAGCATGGATGGTGAGGAGATTGAGATAGTTAACAGTTTTCATTTACTTGGCTCCACAGTCAACGCACAGGTAACAGCAGCCAGGAAATCAGGAGATGAATTGCATTGGGAAAGTTGGCTGTGAGGGACCTCTCAAGAGTACTGACGAGCAACGATGTTAGACTGGAGACTAAGGTGCAACCTGACCCGGCTATAGTCTTCACAATTGCGTGCTATGCATCAGAGAGTTGGACAGTGAATAGGGCTGATAGAGGATTTATGCCTTTGAGCTGTGGTGCTCGAGAA